ACCACACTACCAGCAACAATAATAACAACAATAACAACAACTATAAATTTGAGTACCATGGAATGTGCAACGCAACGAATGCGTTAATACTCTTCTTCATATAAGCTGATTTCGGCCATAATTCTGACATACCGGCGAAAATGCTTTTGACTTATGTTTTCAATGCAAAGAAAAGAACTTCAAATGTAGAATTTCATTTGGATCGTTTGTAGCTTTGCAAATTTTAATTCGAAACTGAAATGAATGCTTTATGCAAAGGTAAAAAAATAAAATATTAATATTTTGAAATAAATATAAATACATTAATGTAGCAAGCAATAATATATTTTACAAAATGTTTAGTAATTTGACTATTAGCTTATAAAAGCACATACTTTGTCGAGCTTAAGCAAAAGCTTGGCAAAGCCAAAGAGCTTGAAAAGCAAAGGCAAAACATGTTTAGCTTGCCTTCATGTGAGCGCATAGCAAGCAGCTGCCTTTGACAAGTTTTTATTGCTGTTGTTGTTGTTGTTGTTGTTGGTGTTGGCGCTGCTGCTGCTGATATTATGCCAACAGTTTTAGTCGCTTGTCATATGCAGCTATTACCGTTAGTTGTAAACGTTGCTGTTGCTGTTGCTGTTGGTGTTGCCACTTGACACTAAACGAAAATGAAACCGAAGCCGAAAACGAAAACGGCAACAGCAAACAGCAACAACAACAACTTCACTAACAGTTTCTCAGGCACTTGTTAAAAGTTTTACAGCTCGCTCGCGCACTCTCTCTCGTTCTCCCTCTCTCTCTCTCTCTCTCTCTCTCTTTCTCTCTTGCGCTTTATATACCACGCAGCGAACTAGTGAATAACACCTCCTTACCTAATGCACTCTTCATGCACACAATGTTATTCATTACCCAGCAATGCTTTTGCATGCAGGGTTGTATGCTGGCGCTGCTAGATCAAGCAGACGCTTGTCTTCGCAAATGCTTCAGTAACAAAAGCTGTGCAACAATGTGTTCTTACATATATCTTACACGTATTGATTTATCTTATCTGTTTAACTATCTCTTTTAATTATTGCGCTTGCGCAGCTCTGCTTATTCCAGTTGGAACAGACAGACGCGTCGTAAAATGTGTAGTGAAATAATATGTTTTTATGTTTATCTTTAAAACTATTATATATATTGCATATATAGCAAGCAGTCTTTATATATATATTATTCAAAAGTATATATGCAACTGCAGTCGTACAATATCCCGTTTAAAGTTCATAAAAAAGAACCTTTCGACAACGCATTACAAAGTAATGGTTGCAAGTATAAGGGTTGTGGTACGGATTGGAAGCTATGCCGCCTACAAAGTATAGATTACGAATCGACCTTTTCACTGCCGGTATGCTATTTACAGATGTGCTGTGTTCTGTTTATTGTGCGTTTGTATTTGTTTCACAATTTTCTCAGTTTATGTTGCAAGCACCTGTCATTTCTGTCTGCTCCATGACAGCTTAAAGTTTGAATCGCACCGAGCCCCTGCTGTTGATGTGTGTGTGTGTGGTGTGTGTGTCTGTGTCAGTGTTGTTTTATTAATGAACCGAGCCAAATTAACCTTAATATATGTGCGCATTTAAATGTTAAACGACTGAATTCCATTCAGTGTGCCCCCACGGGCACTTGCCCGCATTCCTTCATGGCAGCCATTTCTCCCACTTTTCTGGTTGACATTTATCATTTATAATTGTTTGGCTCTGTATGTGTCACCAACTTTGGACATCATCCACCCCACCCCACCACCAGCCCCATCCCTCTATCCGCACTCTGCCGTTTGCGCCCTTCTCTTTGTGCATTGCACATTTTGACACTTTGACATGCATTAAATCAGTCAAGCGTTGGCCACTTTGAGCTCCCCTGACTTTTGCGGCACAACTCTGCGGGTCTCTGTCTCCCTCTTTACCACTCTCTCTCTCTCTCTCTGCCTCTCTCTCCATCTCTTTCTATTTATCTCTCTTTCTCTCTCTCTCTTTCTATGTGTTGCTGCTGCTGTTTTTTGTTGACCATTTGATATTAATGAGTGAAACCAAAGTCAACTTTTGGTCCAAATGAGCATTGCGTAAAACGAAATCCTTTATGCATTTTGAATGATGCATTTCACCCGACCGATAAACTATATACGAATTAAGCTCAGACTCAACTCAATAATAATAATATTTGGGAGAAGACAGTTGCCAAACCCGAATTTAACAGTCCTATCAGTCAAAAGAATTGAGAGCACTTCCACTCTTGCTTACATTTAGGTGTGCAACACTTTTTACAGGGAAATGTGGCAATAAAACAAGGATACATAAAACAGCTGGGTTCAGGGTATGTCGTAGTCGACTTCATTTGATTACAATTCTTGATTAATCGTTTTTTTAATTGGTTGCAAAAATTCCAAAAAACTGAACTCCGAACAAAATGTGTAGGCAACAACAAGAAAAATCGGTTGTGGATTGACAATTCAAAAATAATTAATTTGGTCCGCTGACAACTCATCATGAGGTGTAGCCAACTTTTTGACATGACGTTGACACAGTTGCATACAATTTGAACATTTCGTTGACAAGCAGAAACTTCGACAACTGAAAAAGGTGACATATTAGAAAGTTATCGCGAAGACAATAAAAACAAGTCCGACATCTAAATTTTGGTCCGGAAGTTACAATATTATTATGTTTTTGTACGTTTTAATGTCGCTTGATGCTTTTGACTCGATTCTTTTTTATCTTTGGTATTATGTGATTGTTTCTATAACAGATATATGGTCACATCCAGTCCGGCTCCGAACCTTCGACAAAAATACGGATATATGCCGAGCTTCAACAGGGGTAGTTCTGCTAAATTGATTTACACATACACCCATACCTCGCTATAGGGCCGCTCTTTATACGACATTTCGCTATAACGGCACGTTTTTTTTGAAGGCACGTTTTCGATTTACGGCCTAAAATATGTGGCCATAACGACATTCATTCAGTTACAAGCACAACCTCATTTGTCGAAAGCTTTTTCCTATTTCGAAAGAGGAATAAACATCCTCCTCAAAAACGAAAATTTCTCGAGAAATTAACTCAGCTATTAGCATTAGACAAGAAGGCAACACAAACAACGTAGGACAATTTCTTTAAGCCAGGCTCATCCTAACCAGCGCAAAATGATGACGACAGTGATCTGCAGCTTACCATTACTTCATTGTCTTCAGATTAAAGCAGATTCAGATTTACTTGTTGTGCATATATTTCTGATTTAAATGAAATAAAAAGATAAAATTAATTTTGAGTGATAAACCAGGTTACATATTTAACAACTTTGGAACCGATACCATTGAATTTTTTGGAACGTATCTAGGCAAATATCAAATTAACTGTTTTCTTTTGACCAAAACCAAATGTTTTTGAAAATGTTTATTTTTCAGTTATACTTGTTATACTTGTTATACTTGTTATACTTGTTATACTCTCTCTCTCTCTCTCTCTCTCTCTCTCTCTCTCTCTCTCTCTCTCTCTCTCTCTCTCTCTCACACTCTTTCTGTCTCTCTGTCTTTCTCCCGTTTAGCTAAACACTTGTTAGATTTTTTAGAATGATATTTTTAATGCAAATTTTGACACAGATTTTCTCTCGTTCTCTTTCTCTCTTTTGCTCCAACACATTTTCCGATTCTCTTTCTTGGACGCTTTTCTTTCAAACCCATTCGCAGACACACCCACAGTTTGTCCCTTTTCTCTCGTCCTTGCTCTCGTTTCACTTCCGCTTGCGCTCTCTCTCTCTCTCTCTTTCTCTCTGTCTCTCTTTCTCTCCCTATTGATAGATCGCTTTGGCCATAGTCACAGGCAAATCGTTTAAATTTATAAGATTACGCTTAGCGTCTGGAAGTCGATGTTTCTGAATTTATGTTTATGTTGCTTGGAAATTTGTATATGTTAATTGCGACAAGGGAAGAACGGTGCCAAATATGCTAAGCAAAATATGTGTACGAAATTTATGGATAAAACATGGCAATTTCGTTTACTTGGCTTATAATTTTTTTTCTTCTTATTTATATTTCTCCTTTAGCTTAACATTTTCGACTTGTAGCAATTTTTCATAATTTTGCGATGTATTTTCCTGTTGTTGCTGTTTGGTTCTTGTTGCTATGTTGCCTTTGGCATAAATCAGGCAGAAATGCAGAGGATATAGTAAAAGGGCCAAGGGGGAAGGGGGAAAGTGTTGCCCGCTTTTAGTTGTCGTTGTCGGTGTCGATGTTGTCGTTGTTGTTGTTTTGGCAAAAGTTTTTAAGTCGCCGCAAGCAGAGCGACACAAATTTGAAGGCAGCCAGCGTGAAACAATGGAGGAATGTAAGGGATGGAGACCTGCTGCAGTGCTGCTATTCTCTCGCTGGTGTGCCGCTGCTTGATGGTTATTACCGTTACTCTTTGGCATCGTTAATTATCGTTAATTACATGCAGCACTAGTCCAGGTCTCGTTTTAATTATTATGCGTCCATAAGCAAAAGACAATATGCTAATTTGCTGGATTTCAGGAATCAGTTTTCGCCGTTCGCCTTTTGCTTGCAAGAAGCTTTCTGATATGCACACAAACACATACACACACACACGCTTGGGCTTATGCATGTGTGTGCATTAAAATTGAACTCTCCACGTTTTCATGCGATCAGCCGTTATTGCCTTATTATGCTCCTTCTTCTTCCGCATTACTCTTTGCTGTCTTTCTCATTCATTAACTGTGCGCTGGCGTTTGCCGTCCCGATTTTAATATGTGAGCGCACAGTGGCTCAAAATGCGAGCGTATTGTATCTGAATTAGTTACAAATATTCCATTATTTTTATCGGTATTTTTGTATATTTCTAATCAAGCACAAGGCACAAGGGGCTTAATTAGTGTATTACGAATTATTTGTCAAATTCGAATTCTGTGCAATCACAACCACTGTTTGTACACGAAAGTATGCAATAGAAATGTAAATATATTTTGCCCCATGTTAATGAGAAACTTACCAAAGCTTTTGGTCACTTCCGCTCTGTACGGCTCGCGGACAGTGTGCGGGTGTTGCCAACTGTTGGTAAATTTATGCGCTACCACTGCCGCTGCCTCTGGGTTGCTCTGGAAAGGGAAGAGGAGGTGGACAACAACAAGGCAAAACGAGCACGGCGCTAAGGATGACAACGTGTGCAAATGAGTTTGGTTTATGCGCGCCTTCTTTCGCGGGGCTCACTTGATTTATGGCTGTGTGACCAAAACACTTTAAGATGCTGCTTATAAGCTCTATAGCCAACAACTGCTGTTGTTGTTGTTGTCGTTGTTGCCGTTGTTGCTGTTGTTGTTGTTGCTGTCGTTATTATTGTTATTGTTGTCAGAGCAGAAACTAAAGGCGGCGACGCCGTCTGCACGTGGCGTCCAAATCGGCAGCCATGGCGTCGGCCAGGCTTTGTTTTTGTTTTTGTTTTCGTTTTTGTTTGCAGTTAGTAGTTTTCTTAAGTTAAGCGGTTCGCATTTAAACCAACAACAACAGAACAGTTATCACTGCACTCGCACGACCACAGCAAAAAAAAAAGAGGAATTAAGGTAACTAATATTAAGAATGCCAGCAACGCACGTGATCCAGGAGTCCTTAACTTTTTTATTTTACACTTGTTCAGTTCCACTTTTCTTGCGTACACAGCATCCGATTGGCTTAAAGGTTTACAGCTCACTGTTATTAAGCAGATTCAAAATTAACTTTACTTCTTCTCAAACTAAATTACCAAAAATATTTCGCTGATGGCTGGTCCCACTGTTTACTGGTGGCGATAGTAGCTAGTATTTTTCAATATTGTCATCATTTAAATGTGACAACCAGCTGTAAAGGGTCTGTTATTCAAGCGCGCACTCTGTAAATTTCAAATAAAAAGTTTGGCTTACACAATTTCTTATACAGCGGTGGGGTTGGTATTTTAGCAATACTTTGTATTAGTTTAACATCATTCGAATAATTTTTTCTAGAAGTAGATAATAAAAATACAATCCCCACACAGGCAAATGCAAATCGGCTCAAGTTCATAATCTAATAATCATCCATTTTGTTATTGTATGGTCAACATTTTGAAATCCAGTGAATGCTGCTAGACTTGGGTGTGCCCATAGCAAGCATTGAGCTAGATTCTAGTATTTTTCGTACACAGCATATAATGAGCAGAGGCCAACAACGATAACACAACTATCGATAGTAGCATCGTTATCATTGTTGCCAATCGACACAAGTACAACTACGTGGCTGCCGCTGAAAAGTTAAAAAATTAGCCAAAAGTAAAACGCGACAATGCAAACGACGGTGGCCAGTTTACTGCTAACATTATGTGGCCTCCTACTACTACTGACGAGACCCGGCCACGGCTTCATTGTCAATGTGGACGCGCATAACGAGGAGTGCTTTTTCGAGAACATCGAAGGTGGCACCAAATTTGGTGAGTAACAGCCTCCGCATGCTTCTCCTGCTCCCCCGGGCAAATAGCTCGACAATTGCAAGCAACGTAATTTTGCGTATTTCATTTGGCAGGCGTGACATTCGAGGTGATCGAGGGCGGCTTCCTCGATGTGGACATCAAAATCACTGGCCCCGGCCAGCATGTCATGCACGAGAGCGAGAAGGAATCGTCGGGGAAATATACGTTCGTTGCGCCCGCAAAGGGCACATACACCGTCTGCTTCAACAACGAGCGCAGCAGCATGACACCCAAGCAGGTCATGTTCTCTATCGAGAAGGGCGATGCGCCGCAACGTGCGCCCGGCGCACCCGGTGAGGAGGAAGTCGGTCACACCAAGCTGGAGGACATGATACGCGAGCTCTCCGGCACCCTGACCAATGTCAAGCACGAGCAGGAATATATGCATGTAAGTGACGACGACGAGTCCACTCAACTTCCAATTGTTAAAGCCCCTCAATTTATTTGCAGGTGCGCGACAAGATTCATCGGTCTGTTAATGAGAGCACCAACTCGCGTGTCGTTCTCTGGTCCACATTTGAGGCACTCGTCCTTGTACTGATGACAGTCGGCCAGGTGTATTATCTGAAGCGCTTCTTTGAGGTCAAGCGCGTTGTGTAATCCCTTCCCATGCATGTGTGTGGAAATGTATAGAGCGAATGTGTGTTGCAGCAGTCTCAGCCTAATTTTAAATGATAAATTAAATACCTTTTTTTGTAACAAATCGAAGCTAAAAACGGTTTACTTACTGCCCTCATCTAAAAGAATGGGTTTGCTGCCCAAGTTCACCTTGTTGTACCTTGGATACCATCTATTTTGGATTCCCGTTCCCAATTTCCCTCTTCATACATTTTATATTCGGCTAAAATTACTAAAAAGCCTACGTTTGCTATAAAAAAAACATCTAGGCTCTAATTATTAACTGGGATTTCAGTCAAGTAAGGCATAAATTGCATTTCTTTCTCATTTCCGATTGCTATTCGAGAGATTTGCTCAATTATTTGGATACTTTTCATGCCATAAGCCTTGAATGCAGTTCGATTTAATGGATCATTGCGATTTGGGACATCCTTCAAAAATATGCAATGATATTTTGCTCGAGTTAGAGACTGTTTTCTCTGCTACTAAAAGTATGCGGCAAGTTTTTAATATAGCTCGAGCTCGACTTAGCCAAGCCACCAACCCTATTGCGTCAATGGAGCGTGTATCTGCTATCCTTGCCACCCGACAAAAGAAATAAAATAATGTCTGTGAAATATTTCTTTTATTTTTATTATAATAAATAGTTTACAAGAAAATTGAATACTTGAACAGGAGCAGGCTTGCTCATATACATCAAGTTTATAGCTGTCTTCCACATGGACCATTATGTAAGAGAAGGAACCAACGAAGAGATATAGCTTGCCAGTGTGTGACGTTGATGTTGTCAGCTTCTCTGGATATCCGTTACCTGTTATGCACAAATTATGCCGATTGAGAGTATTCTCGTTACGTGTTAACTAAATGTTTGTGCAACATTCCAGATGGAATGGCAACATGTGGTAAAAGTGCTGAAAAGATCAAAAGTCCAGTTCCTGCATGAAATGAGCAGTTGCAGTGAAAGATTTATTTTTGTTCTTTTATTTTTTATTATCTTTATTATATATTAATTGCCTTGCTGTTAATGTTGCTATTAAATTTCTTGTTGTATATTTTACAAAGTACACACAGTATACAAAAGAAACAAATATTTTTGTTCAAACAAAAGAAAACAATTAAGAACGTGATAGTCGCATGATGATGATGATGATAGTTGCAATTGTGTAATATCATCGGCTAACTGTCAACATTTCATTTAGGGCAGATACTCTTTGAGTCTGCTCTGCCTGCCTAACTGAATGTGTGGCATAAAAAAAAGGTATTTATTTATATAAATATATGTATATTGATTAAACAACACGATTTGACATTAATTAAATTTGGTATAAAAATCTAAAACAATGTTTGTTACAGTTGGTTGTTGTTTTTCTTTTTCGTTTTCTTTTTCATTTCTTACTTTCTTATTTGCAGTTTCAGTTACATTTTATATATATATATATATATATTATATACACACATACTGTATGTATATGCACTCGTTTTGTATAAGTTTATTAATAATTTCCTCAATTCATTATTTTATTTGTTAGCAAAAAACACTTAGAATACACCGCTTTCGTCAACGATTTACTCGTTTCACTTGTTGCTTCTTTTTTGTTTATTATTTATTTCTGTGATCAACACGTCCTCGGATTTATAGAGCTGGGAATCGCATCCCGCCATCACCTCTCCATGCTCTATATATACAAATGTATATGTATGTTGCATGTGGTCCTTCTGTATGAACACTCAATTAAATACGTATATACCTAGCTTTATTACAAACATTAATTCTATTCATTTGTTGCATTTTGTTCTGTTAACTTTGCAAAAACTTTAAAGTACTATCGATTCCAATTCAACTCTATTTTGCTAAATGTGTTGAGTGTTTGTTTGTTTGTTTCTCTGTTTGTTTGTTTGTTACTGGGACTGGAGACCAGCAATGACAAGTCTTCAGATGTGGTCGCGTTGTGTTTGAGTCTTCAGTTGAATGGAGTCACTCAAAATTGTATATTGATTACTATATATTAACAAAGTGGCTGAGAACAAAAATAAACACTAATTGGACTTAAAAACATAACAACAAATTTTTTAATATAGTTTAAGCACGGGCCAAATTTGTTACAGCCTTAAATACAGATTTGTATATGTATATATATAGCTGATCGTTGTCAGCTGGCAGAACATCATCATCAAGAACAACAACTAACTGCTTGGCTGTAACAGTTTTGCCCTCAACAGAATACATAATATTTACGATACGTACACATAAATACATAAATATACACTTATGTACAACTAAAAAACAAAAAAAAAAAAAAGCGAAAAAAAAAAACGAAATAAATTCCATAAACATAAAAGTGGACGATATTTTATATATAGGCCGTGGCCAACAGAAGTCTTTTCCATTTGACTTGACATGCTGGCTTAATATTGATGGGAGGAGCAGAATTGAGGATAGGCATACATACACATACATATTAGTGTATATATAGGAATATATGTACATAAGTAATCCCTACATACGCATACAAGACACGCACATATATATAATATATCTATATATATATATATGGCTACATTTACACACATACACATAACATAATCTATCTATTTGCAGGACAATATATATATATACATATATATATATATATATATATATATATATAAGTACACCACAAACACTCACCCGCAAAGCGCACACACTCACACTTTAGTTATTTTCGATAATTATCGATTATAATCGTTTACAAATTTTGGCGTTTTTTTCTCGATTAGGTGTAGGTTGCAATAATAGTAGTACATAGAAATACATATGTAGATAGCTATTTGAACTCGTACTCGTAGTCGAGCTTGACATTTTATTTTGACCTGAATTTTGTCTATATTCAAGTTGATTGCAATGCAAATACATATATATATCTATATATATATATAGATGTGTGTGTACATATATTTGATATACTTTCGTGTACAATTTGATAAGCTACATGTACATGCGCATACAGATGCATTTTGCTCGATTGTGGGCGTGCCGAGAGCCGTAAACTAATTTAAATATTTATAGTATTGACATAATAAAAGCACAAAGAGTTTTCCGTTTTTTTTTCTTGTTTTTTTGTTTTTGGATGCATTAAAAGACAAAAAGCGCGTAAAAAAATCGCGTACATTGTTCCTATTAATAGTTAACGTCGCGCTACAACTCTTTTGGGCCAACTCGAAATTTGTTACCAATATTTAAGTTCATACGTAAATTAATAAAACTAGAATAAAAATCCAAATCGAAATTAAACAAAATGTTAGATATTAAAATATAAATATATATATATATATATATATATCGAGCAGCACCCAAAAATGTTCCTATTTAGCTGCTGCATCCCTTTTTGAGTCATCATCATCTTCAATAATAACATAATCACGGATACTATATACAAGACTGGGGCGTGACTGGATGACTGGATGACTGATCAGACTACTGATTTAAAAGAACGTGGAGAACTTGCGCTTGTTTGGCGTCTTGCTGATGTTGAGGTGACTTTGGTGCTGGTGGTGGTGGTGATGGTTGCTACCGTTGTTGTGCTTGCTGGTTGCCAGCACAGATACCGAGACGGAGACGGGCATGGGCATTGGTATGGGTATGGGCACCGAAGCGTAGGCTGCCGGCTCAGCGCCATTAACTAATATGCTTCGTTGCTGCAACTTCTGCTGCTGTTGTTGTTGCTGTTCTTGTTGTTGTTGTTGCTGCTGCTGTTGCTGTGCATAGAAAGAGGAGGCGGTTGCCGTTGAGTTGGCGACCGCACTGCTGGCTGCTGAGGCGGGTGGCATTACGACGACGGGCACAACCACGGGTTATACAGATATCTCATAGTTCATATCGTAGATGCTGGCGCGATCTGGTGTGCCACTAGCATTGGCAGCAGCAGCCGCCGCAGCAGCAGCGGCAGCCGCAGCTGCATTGCGTCCGACTGCTGCGGCTGCGGCTGCTGCTGCCGCATTCTGTTGGGCCAGACTCGTGGGCACACCGCTCGCCAGGCCGCCATTGTTGCGGGCCATTGTTGCTGCCGCTGCCGCCGCCGCCGCCGCCACCTGCTGCTGTTGCTGCTGTTGTTCCAGTGTCTGCATCTCCATTGAGTCGGTCATTTCCAGAGCACGCACAAAGCTCATTGGACGCGTTGGCGTCTGCTTGCGCTTGATCTGCGGCGACGGCTGTGGTTGCATCGCTCCAATCGCGTTGCTCACGTTGCCTGACATGCCAGCCAATGGATTTGGCGGAAAGACAGGTACGCCGCCGCGCAGCTGCGGTTGATAGCCACCAGTTGCAGTAGTCCCAGTGCCAACACTGGCATTACTGCTAGCCGGTAGATTGCCAATGCTGCCGCTGCTGCCCGACGCTGCAGCCGTGCCAGCAATGCCGCCACCGCCACCGGCGCCGCTGCAACGCAAAATGTATGTTTGTGCCGTGGATGTTAGCGGTAGTGTTGTTGGACTTGTGGGATTCGATCGATGATATGACGCAGCTGCTGCAGCGGCGGCAACGGCTGCCTGTTGTTGTTGCTGCTGTTGTTGCTGCTGCTGTTGGATGGCATAGTCCTGGATGCGTGAGTGTGTCATGATAAGTGGATGGGCTCCACCGCCGGCTGTTATATACTGGGCATGCTGCATGACGCCGCCCGTATTGTTGCTGCTTGGCAGTGTGCCCGCACTGCTGCCAATACTAACGGTAGCCGGGCCAACGCCACCGCCACTAAAGCCGGGCGAGGTGTCCTTCCACATGTAGACACCGCGCTGCGGACTGCCAGCCAATTCGCGTATATTGTCCACCGTGTTGTTGGAGCGCGCATACGAAAGCTCAGCGCCACCGCCGGCACCCTGACGCACCAGCTCACCCTCAGAGAGAAAGCGACGCTGCGGACTGCCCCCATAGGCAGCCTGAGCCAGCGATTGTTGCTGCTGCTGCTGTTGCTGCAGCACTGTAATTAAAAGCATATTGTTAGCAAAGCCGTCGAAAATTGGTACAACCAACCCACCTTGTTGTTGTTGCTGCTGCTGTTGTTGTTGCTGATGCTGCAGCATGACACGTTGCTGTTGCAGCAGCAACTGTTGCTGCTGTTGAATTGTTGCCGCCTGCGGATGCTGCGGCGGTAGCCCGCTCGTGTATTCATAGTATGCAGCTGCTGCTGCTGCAGCCTGCTGCTGTTGTTGCTGTTGCTGCTGCTGCTGTTGTGCCGCTGCCTGTGCATTGAGCCCTATGAAGTCCGGACGTCGCGGCTGCGTGGGCGTACCCGGATTCGATCTGCCAAGGGTGAGAGAGGATGAGAGACGAGAGTGTGAATGAGTTTGTTAAAAGAAAAAAAACAGGACGAACGCAGCAAAACGGAAACAAAGCCAATTGTTATGTTAATGGTTAACATTAAGGCTGCGTTTCCTTAACAGAGGCGTTATGTTAATGTTAGGACTTGACAAACACAGTGTTAACAGAATGCAAAGTTTATTTGTTTGCTTGCTTGTGTGTGTGTATAGGTGTGTGTAGGTGTGCGTGTGCGAATCTGTGAAGGTATGCGCATGAGTTATGTATGTATGTATTAGGCTACAATCAAACTTGCACAACAATGTCGTTAAGGGGGTATTTAGTATATCCAGTTTAGTAGTTACAACAGTTACAACAACACAACAGACACAAGTGCAGGACTTTCAGAGAGCGAAAACGAAACAGCGAGCGAGAGAGAAAGATAGACAGAAAGTGAGAGAGAGAGAGAGAGAGAGTTAGAGTGAAGAGAGCCGTTGCACACAGATAATTGTCAAACGAAGTAATCGGTAAATTATCAGTTGATGTTGAAATTAATTTCGAATGATATTCTTTATTATTATATACAGTCGACAGACAACCCGTATTTCCATCCAATTCCCATTCCAATTCCATTTCCATAACATTAACAGTTAGCAAACTGAAACGGTTGGTAAATAATGGTTATTATCAAAATTGAATATTTCTCAGGGCAATGCGTTGAACGAATTCGACAACGGTGCGAGGCACATCGGATCGGACCAGCTTGATCATCAGATGGAGTATGTTAACGATACAATAGAGTATGCTACAGCCAAGTATGATGGGCGCCAATAGCAGCTTGGTCTGCATCGAGTAGCGTGTGGTATCCTCAAAGTCGAAGAACTCCCAAAGATTGGCCTGGCCAAGGAAATGATTGCGCAGCCTCATCACCCGAACCTTTAGCCAGCTAAAATAGCAGCAGATGAAGAACAGTATATTCGATATCAGATATCCCAGCAGGAAGCCAGCCAATGTTATATAGTCCACCTTGGGCTGCTGGCCAACACCAGCGGCATTTGGAGCACCTCCAGCACCACGCAGATGACCATAACGAAAGCGGTGCAATTTGCTTGCTATTCTTGAGGAGATTGGCCTTTGCTGCTGAGCCTGATTGTGCTCATTATGGTTTCTGTTGTCCTCAGCGTTGTTGTTATTGTCCAGATTGCTATTGTTATTGTTAAGGATGATTCGATGATTCCCGTAATCGTGGGCCTGCTGATATCGATCCTTGTTGCTGTTACAGTTGTTGTTGTCGTGGGCATTCTCGCCACCGGCTCGAACATTATCATAGGACATCAACTCTGCGATTTGTTGGGAGTTGTTACCGGCTATGTGCTGCTGTGTCCTCGGCGCACTGTTCACGTTGGTCTCACCGAAGGCGACAGCTTGCAAAGAAGACGACGCTCTTGCTTCATTGTGGCCAAGATGGTGGCAATCGCGTTGCTCCTGTGTCACTTCAATCGCGAATCGAGCATCGCCGGCATCGCCATCCAGGCCGGCACGTGACCGACGCAGCAATAATGGGTTCGTCTTGAAATGCATGCCGTTGAACTGGAATTGCCGGCGATTGCGTAGCTGTGGCACTGTTGCGGCAGTTACAATGTTCGTCTTCTCCAGCAAATCCAGGTTGCTGCACCGAATGCGACCGGAAATGGCGCCGGACTGCATCGATTTGTTGTTGCTCTTATACATAATGGAAACGTTTCTTTTTTTGTTTTCTTTCTTTTTCTTGTTGGTTTTTTTTTTTGCACCACAATTTGGGGTTATTCAACGATGTGCCGAAATAATAATTGCAATTTGAAAAATGTTAGTTTGTGTTTTGTGTGTAATAACAAAATAAGTCTACAGGAATTTCTTTTCGTTTTGGGCAACAAACAATTTTGTTTTTGTTTTTTATTATTACTAAAGCCTGACAGAAAGCGAACTGTGACTTTCGTGTGTGTCTTTTTTTTTGTTGTTGTTTTATTTCTATTTAATTTTTTTGTTGAGTATGAATGAGTTGTTGTTAACCAGTTCCATAGGCCAGATGTGTCTGAGAAATGAGCAAAGCCTGCCTTGATTTCAAATGTGGCGAAAACGAAACGAAACGAAAGGAAAAAAAAGACGGCACCAAGAAATCAAGAAATCACTCACCTTCAATCAAATGAAAGCTGAGCTTGTAGTACAGTACACATAGGTGGGTCGTGCTCTTGGTGGCGCTAGTTGTAGTTTTGCTTGTATTTTCTAGGGAGTGTGTCTGTGTACCGGAGTGTGTGTGTGTGTCAGAGTATGTGTGAATGTGAAAACGTTAAGAAAAAAAAAAAAAAAAAACTAGAGGCAGAAATGAAGACCGATAGATTTAAAAATAGCTTAACTTGGATCTGGTCGGAATTTGTTATTTGTTTCTTATTTTTTTTGTTTTTTTTTTTTTTGTATCTGATTTGGTTTAGGATATGGCTCAGGCTTAGTTCTGCTGTGTGCCTCTTTGGCCGATATTCGTCTTACGAATATCATCATTCATCGTAATCGTTATCGATTGTTATCGTCTCCCTTTACACTTAATCTATAATTTCTAGTCAATGTTTTTTTTTGTCGATTCTCTCTGGAGTTTTTGTTTGTTTTGCAATTTTTTGGTTTTATTATTACGTTTTGATTTTGATAGACTTTTCCTTGTGGTAAGCTAAGCCTAGGAGTTAGTACTGTTCTCAGAATTTGAGTGTTGACTACATCAAGAAAAATAAAACAAACAAAGAAAACGAAAAAAAGAAAAGTTGAAAAATAATTAGTTTCAAAGTGTGTATTAAACAAATTAAGTTGTTGTTTGGGAAAAAGCTGTGTGTCATTTATATATATATATATATATATATACATATATAATATAAACACTTAATTATGTTGATGATGATACATGACGGCGCAAGAAGAAAAAGGAATACAGATCTACACAGCTAATGCATGTAAGAGAGAGAGAGAGAGAGAGCGACAGAGAGCGAGAGAGAGAGAAAAATCGAGGCCGAGAGCGAAAGCGATAGCAAGATAGAGGGCGAGGGCGAGGGAGACATCGATGGACCTAGCTTCGGTTCAATGACCTGGTTTCCTATTGCCAACTTGCTGGCAGTCGTGCAAGCCAATACACCCGCAAGGAAGTACAGTAAGCACTAACTACATGAGAATGGTTCACAATGAGGCGGCAAATAAAGCAAAATTTACGAACAGTGGACAAGAACAGAAAAATAAAGACTTACTGATGACTCTCCTCTACAAACATGTTTTTGCAATATGCCACAAAAATAACAATTTGAGCAGCTTACAATAATAATAATAATAATAATAATAATATTAACAATAACAAATTGGAAGCACTTAAGCAATCAATGCAAGGCAAGGAAGCAAACCAACTAATGGAGGAGCGGGCAAGTCGAGTACTGGACGGACGAACAGTTGCTGTACCACAGCGATAGGTGTGGTTGCGGGTGTGGCGGAGGGGCAGCAGAAGCAAACCACTTACTTACCTTCTCACTGGACTGGCGATGACAAGTGGTGTGGCCACGCCCAGCGGTTTAATTCGTTGTTGCATGGTAGGTGTGGCCGTTGTGGCGCCACCACGCTGTCCTTGTGCTACTGATATGCCCTGCGGCTGACCATTGACGACATAACCACCACCACCACCACTACCAACGCCGCCGGGATGATCCGGCGAGAGTGCATCGCTCGTATAGACGCGCTGCGGATCCAGGCCCCTAAACAAGACAACATGTAAATTGTTTCAATTGGATTTAAAAGAATCGATCAGTCGCCACTCACCTGGTTCGCGCATGCGGACTGTGACGCGGATGATACATGCGAATGTGGCGCGGCGAATCTCCGCCACCGCCACCACCGCCGCCACCTTGTGATGAATTGTTGGCAATGCCAGCGCCGCTGGCAATGTTGCCATTGTTCATGTTGCTCATATTAATGCCCGGCGCTGTGTCGGCCACCTGCGGCAGATAGAAGTTGGTCGAGTTGTGGCGCTGCAGCGGCGGCGTCGGCTCGCAGTCTTGACTCTGTGAGGCAGGCGGCGGCTCAAGATCCGTATCGGAGCACTCGCGTCCCGGCGACAACTGTGAATATGTGTTGTGGAGATGTTTCGAAAGAAAAGAACAAATATTTCTGCATTAGTCATCACAAGTTCGCTGCACATGGCAAATTGTGCTCAACACAGAAAAAAAAACCTTAGACCTACATAAAACGAGTAGTTGCGATTGATCGATTTTGGAATGCACTTGAAACCAAATGAAAACGAAACTTTGTGTGTGGTTTTGTTTTTGTTTTATATTTTTTTTATATTTGTTGCACAAATGAGTTTGGGGATGCCAAATGTAGATTGCTTTATATCGAATATTGGCTAGAAAAGAACGATGCTGCTAAACATCTCCTGTATACATATAACGCACAGTGTGTAAGATATCCGCAATTCAAATTGAGAGATTTTTGGTTTTGGGTTTTGCAAGACATCATATAAAAAAATAGGGGAAAATCACTGTAAAAAGTATTCAATAGGTCAAAGCTACAAATTGTCGAACGAAAGTTGAACAAATTCAGCAAATATACTGAGCAATCAGGAAAGACACAGAAAGATCGAAAGAGACAGACAGATCGAGAGTAAGATATATATATATACATACATATATAGATGTATATATATAGATAGAGAGATTTATTGAGTTTTAAAAAGATACATATGTATATGTATGTAAAGTATTTGGAGAGTGTTCCACAAGGATTTCGGATATGAATATTAAATTTTTGGTGAGGGGAGGAAGCAGTAGTCATGTGACAAAATTCAAGTCAATCACTTTTCAATCAAACAATATGTATAAATCAGTAAATAAGTAAATAATAAAAGTACATGTACGTATACGTATATATAAATATATATATATATATATATATATATATATTCATACACGTATCGTATTTTATAAAATATTTTATTTGTTCTTTGTTTTTGGTGTTTTTTTTTTTTATTAAATTTTTTTATTTTATTTTTTTTTACCTTTTTCGGTGCTTGCAGAAAGTGTAGAGTTTTGTTTTGACCAATTAATTTCATATGTTTCTAAGTACGCTACTGACTATATTGAAAACAATTGCACAACAGTCTGCGGGTAAATGTACAGCACAAATTCAGACAAACAAGCCGATTAATTAATATGTATAGAGGCGGCACCAGAGCAGAGCAGCTTATGCAAAAGCCTTCAAATTGCAACACAACAAACTAACTAAAGAACTCAAGAAGAATTCAGCATGCATGAAAAACAACAAATAAAACGCAAAGAAGAAATGAAACGAAATCAAGCTATTAACTATAAACTGTAAACGTGGCCATTACGCACCTACACAGATCGGGTAAGGTAAGAAAGTAAGCATTTGTCAAGGGCAGCGCAACAAGAAAAACTAAAAAGAAAAGTCATTAAATAAATGAAAGTAGTCTTTGGTCGTCCAAAGGTTTATTACTCTGTTGATCAGAGTTGGTCAACAGAAGTGAATCAATATGTATAATTAGTAGACGACTAGCAAATACGATGTCCCTTTGACTAGATATTGCTTAATTATTATACACTTAAGAAAAAAATACAGACATTTAAGGGAAACATTTGGTTGAACACATTTAGTGTTTCACTAGGCAATTGATTAACTATTTGCATAAATATAAAAAATGTGTGTTATTTATATATTAAGATAATAAGTTCTGATTGAAATAATGCCAGTATATTATTATGTTTTATATATATATTATTTGTATGGCAACTATCACATATGAAGTGTCTTGTAATCAGACAGTATTCAGTATTTTATGTTTATAGCTAACATTGACGTAGAACTTGCCAGTAATTAATTCAAAGACTAATAAGATCGCTCATAAGAAACACTTGTGTATATATAAGAGCAACAACCTAAACACAAATTCTACTTCCAAGCCCTCAAAGCAAACGACGTGTCAAAGTTACAAATACTCTACGCAAGTGCATACAGGACAATACCAAGCTTTAAATAAACAATAAATAGATAGGGGGAAAGAGATAGCATTGTAACGCCAAATAGATGGATATAATAGAAGTGAATGTGCATAAGTCCTGCATTTTAAACTGTGCGATTAATTGATTGATTGATTGATTGTGTGTGTGTGTGTGTGTGTGTAAAGTGTTCAATCGGATATTTGAGTATCTGATAAGTGTCAAATGAATCTCGGACAGAAGTGAACTCAGATCAAAATGATAGTCTTGGAAAATTGAATATATATTTATATTTTTTTAAAATACAAAGTGGAAATAAAAAGTTGCAGGTTTTTTCTTCATCTTGCTGCTGTTTTTACATGTAACCATTACGAGGACAACAAACAGGGCTAACAAACTGTGCGTTAAATATACAGTTCTGGGGTAGTGGACCTGATGTGATTAACTGATTAAATTGTTAATGCTAGTTGGCTAGTGATTGAAGCAAAAGCATTTGGCAGCGCACAAATTCAAATGCGTATATTAAACAGAAGAATGTTAATCAGCAAATGTGGGTTTGGGATGGTTCACAAACAGTTTCAAAATACAATTGATTAGTTAAAAATTCAGTTAGAGTATAAAAACAATAACACAAAATGGAAACAAAAAATATTAAAAAACTAAATTAAACACAACCAATTGAATGACAATCACAATTACAATTATTGGGTAAGCGAATACAAATAGCAACAGGTAGCGACAAAAGTTGAGTTGTTAATTGCAGTTGCCACATTACAAATAAAGTAATACATTGTAACAAGAAGATAGAAAGAGCACACAAAAATATATAATATATACATAGATACAGAGGCAGAGACAGATACAGATACAGATACAGTTACAGATACAGATACATGGTTATAGTAGTATAGATTGGTTATAGAGTTTATATTCGTTTTGCATAGCAGTTTCTGCAATGTTTCGTTTTGGTTTTGCAAAATGTTACCCACCTTACTATAAAGCGTTGTGCTGCCCGACCGCTGATTATAACCATTGCCCTCGGCCATATAAGTCTTTACCTGAATTCCACGCTTCTCCCGACTCGACTCGTAGTAGGAGCGGGGTGAATATTGTACCGAGGTGCCGCGCATTCCACTCCCAACGCCAACGCCGCTGCCGGTGCTGCCATTGCCACCGGCTCCGGTTCCGGTTCCGGTACCGCTACCGGCATTGGTCTGTTGGTTGGTCCGATCGTTGCATATGGTGCTTATGGCTTGATTTTGCGTCTGCGACCGTCGTGACGCATACTTCTTCGGCTTCAGCAGGCTGCAGGGTTTGTGCAGTACACAATGCAATAAAAATATATAAAAAAAATGCATTAGCATTATCGATATCGAAGTCAAATCGAAGAAACAGTTCGATCGTTCGTTAGTTTACCTGGGATATTGGGGCCCGAACTGTGTGTAGCAGCAGTTGTGCCAACAGCCGCGCGAGAACGGATTGTAGCCACCCTTAAACTTGCCAGTCACCTGTTCGTTGGTGGTGCGACCCCGCGACACCAGCACCATGTGGAAGCCTGTCAGACCGAATATTGGTATTGCCAGCACGGTGACCAGGCCCATCAGTATCATACTATTTACATGACAGTTAAGCTAAACCAATGTGGCGAACGAGACGAACGAGTTGTAGCTGCGAAAAGAGACTTAACCCAGATATTCGTCGTGCAACCTTTACAGCCCTTTCAGATTTGAACTCCCCGATTGAACATATATATGTAGCTAAAGGCAACTATATCTTACAAAATAGACTTAAGTTTTTTTTTTTTATATAAATGTATTTGTAACTAATTGTCATCATATGTGTTAGGTCTTGAAGGAAATGTCCGTCTATCTATGTGTGTTAGTCTCATCATTGTTTATTCGCATTTTCTGCATAACTTGGCTCGAGTCAGCTCTAAAGCTATCTTGCTTAAACATGGCCTATAATCGTCTATCTGTTATGCTCGACATCTGAACAAAGTCATAGACATTCAGTACTGAGTTCACAGCCATTCGTGAAACAGAAAATATAAATAAAATTTGCTTAAAGCGTGCGTAAAAATAAATACATAATAATATTTCGAACTCCTGACTAAAATTTCAAATCTCAGCAGATTAACTCTGGCCTACGAAGACACAAGGTAAATGTTCTGTTTTTTTTTTTCCAGTATATAAAGATCTCTCTTGCAACAGGCTGTTTAAAATGAGAAAAATCATATTTTAGGGCCATCCCACTACACATATAAACTGTGATGTGTAATTATTGAACAATAATTATAATAATCTTCAGTTTGAATCTGATGCAAAGGATGGGCTAGGTTTGGTTTGCAGGCTTGAATATTAGTTAAAGAATAATATTAGTATTCGATTTAGTTGTTTTCAAAAAGGATACGCGACAATTGGTGCCGTCTGTTTGACGTTGGGCATGATTTTGAGCACGTAGAATAGACACAGCGAAAATATGCTCAGCATATGGATGGAGAGTGAGACGAGGAAAAAGAAGAAGAACCTATAATTGCGCCTGCCAATGCAATTGTTCACCCAGGGACAGTGATGATCGAATGTCTGCAAATATATATATACATATAGAGAGCGAGAGAGAGATCAACATATAGATTAGATTCGTTCAGTTTGTATGAACTTAGATAAACTCCTACCTCTATGCAGTGATTGCACACGGAGCAATGGGAGCAGCGGGGAGGTCGATAGAACTTGCAGGTGACGCACCATTTCATTTTGACGGTAATGCCGTTTATCTCGGCATTCTTGTAGAGCGGTGCACGGAACTCCTCCTCGCAGTCTTCGTCGGGCGATGCTAGAATTCAGTCAAATTTAGGCTGTGCGAGAGACGCTGGGCACCGTTTAGCCCGCTACATACCTTTGGGTATAATGCCCGGATCCATAAACGTCGCCAGTGTGAAATTGGCCAACACAAAGAACGTGATGACGCCCTGATAAGCCAGCACCCATGGATGGCTCTTCACATAGTATTGGCAGCTGCAAAAATAGAGGCAAACGGAAGCATACACATATATATATATTATTAGCCGAAAAACACATTGAAGTTATGCAGAAATAATGAGCATCTCTCTCGACTTGAGTCCGTATAAATATGTTTGCTTATAGAAACGCCTTCTGCTACAGACAAAAAAAAAAAAAAACCAACATTGGAAAAATACGAAAATATATGCTAAATCACTATATATATATATAAAAAAAACAATGCAATTATTTCAACATGATAAATATCTATAAAAAGCTTATTCCATTTCAGTTAAAAATTCCCAATTGACACAATTTGCCGATTTCTACAATGATTGAGCTGCAATATATACGTGAAGTGCTGTGAGTGATTTAATAATGAATATACATATTTTAGGCAGTGGATATTAAATAATAATAGCTGGTTATTTCGGCTACAACGCTCGTCCTTATTAATAACAATTTGTCAAAATTCCGATATGATTATGCTGGCCACTAATCAGCGAACAACAATCCGCATCATCATAGCCAAAAGCTCAGTTTTGCAGTCACATTGCAAAACACCACCAGCCGCACCCAACTCAAGCCCATCCATATTTCCAATATCCTACAATCACTTTAGAGTCCACTGAACTGGAACTGTTTGTCGAGCCGAGCTGAGCCTCAATTCACACACACACACACACACATACTAATGCCTTGGGGAGGTGTTCATATCATAAATAAACAACCCCCTACTTTGTAACCGGCCCTAATGTGTTTAACATAAGCCGAAACAGCGTACACATTCTATTTTGCATTGGATCTGCAACAAATGTATTATTATTAGTATTATTTGGCCAATGTTCGGTGCAAATATTTTGAAATTAACTAAATTAAATATCAGCTTTGGGGGTAAGTATTTATGCAGCTTTAGCATTCAGTTGATTGACAAAGCAGAAATATCGTTTAATCAATAAATCATAAGATACCAATGATTAAAGCCCAATTAATAAATCGCAATCATAACTTTTAACACTTCATGAAATGTGTCAAAACTTTAAATGCCAAGTGGAGCATTTCCGCGAATGGACAAAGCAGAAATGTTGCTCATTGAGCATTCATAAAAAGAGCAATGATTAAATTGCATTTATAAGTACTTTTAATGTATACATTATCGACTTCATGAAAATGTCAACGAGAATCGAATATTTTATGCTTTTTAGGAACAGCTTTTGTCTGTGTGACCTCTTCCAGCAATTTAAGTGCGATTCTTTCGCTTAGTTTAGCGCTGCTGAGTTCTGCTATAAATAATGCAATGCAAATTAAAAATGCCAATCTTATGGTTCTGCTGCTTCACCTGCTCGTTGCACGTTGCACGTATTTCTTGAGCAGGTCCACGTGCGACCTTCGTCAACTGGTAACTGGCAGCTTACTTGAGAGCTGGAATTGTGAGTGAATTTTCAATTTATTCTCATTTAATTAAAATTGACCTGTGGGAGGCTGCTTCTGCCACTACAGTTCGTTCTGAGAATAAACTTCCTGTCACTAGATCTTACTCGCTCTCATTTTAAGTTCAAATTTCTTTGAAAAGTTGTAAAAGTAAAGGAAAGTGTGTGGGAAAACTGCGAAATGTGTAATTGTCATTCTAGATGGCTTCCATGGATTTTTGGAAAATTCACTACGTTAAACAAGTGAAAATTTCAAGAGGATAGCAACCCTTTTGACTCGGAGAAATCCTAACCAGTTATTTAATTGTTTTGCTCAACTTGAAAACAGCAGAAGAGCATTTTTAATGCTCGAATAAAATCAAACAACAAACTTTTCATTTGCGAACATGCACAGTTTTAATTTAGAATAATTAGACGACTTAGCGACTCGACTGTGGTCCAAATCCAAATCCAGGCCAGAATATGCTGGCACACGTAAAAAGCAATCCACTGGGGCCGGCTGGAGCAGCAGCAAGAGGCTTAGTCGTAGCTTTTGCAAATATGAGATATGAGCCCTCCCTATTCTGAAATGGAGCAGTAGACCGACAAACAGAGAGAGTGAGAGAGAGAGAGGGAGAAATGGAAAGGGCTAGAGAGAGGAGAGGAGACACATGGACATGAAATTGGTTGCTGACTGTGTTTGCTCAAGGATTTCATTTTGCTTACGTTTGCACACGTTTTACACAGTGTAAGTGTAACAAACAAACACAGTAAAAAATCGCACAACTTTTTAGTAACTCGCCATAATTTTGGCGGAATGTAAATTTCTAACATTTATATTTGTGGCTTTCTCAAATCCAGGGTTTGCCTTTCTAAATTATATTATGAAATTTTTCTAAATATTAATTTCCACCAGGATATCTATTTTCTGTGCGTGAATTCATATATTAGATTTTTGTTAAACTCTAATATAAAGGTCGAGCCAGTTTCAATTTCACAACTAGTTTCTTAATAATAATAATTGTCGATTTAGGACGAGCCTATATCATTTTTCGAAGTTTTTCTTCTTCTTATATTTAGAACGTATTTTCTTTTAAGGAACAAGAAAAACGTTGTACTTTTTTTTTGTTTTATTTTTTTTCCAGTGTGTGTACTCCATGTCCTGGAGTTAAAACACGGAAAAGGAAGAGGCTTGTGCTCACAGGTCTACGCCCACAGCTCTTAGCGGTAGCAATAAAAACGACGAAAACAACAGCAAGAAATGAGCAAGCAGACAACATAAGAAACATGACAGGAACACAACAGAGATCAATTAGTGTTGGCCATCAAATCAAATCAATTTGCCAGCAAACTTGTCAACAACAACGGCAACAGCACCAGCGACAGAAGCAGCCAACACTTCAATAATCCATTTATAGAAACCCAACTCAAGTATCAAGAGAACGAGATCGAGACTGTGAAAAATATAAAAAACATTAAAAGCGTTGAATTGAAAGTGAATTATTAAAAATATATAACTAACTAGTAGCACACACTTGACACCATTTTTTTTTTTTTTTTTTTTTTTTTACCAAAAGTTATGTTTTTGCAAATTTAAATGCAGTTTGAAGTTTCTTCAATAAAATTCCATATAAAAAGAAGCTTCAGTCAAAATTTTAGCTGACTAATTCTTCCCGATTAGACTGTATATTAGTCAAGAGTACGAATAAAATATTTGAGCACGATTTTTATATTTTAATAAAGGTCACTATCATTATCTTTCAAAATGAATAGGTCATATGTGTGATGAGAAGAAGTCGGAGGCATATGATGATTTGTATCTATACAATTTTACTCTAACATAAAAGTCAAGTTATCTCATCTATTTTCAACAATGTCTTAAAGAAAGCATATACCTTTTTCCAGTTTCCAACCAAAGTCTATTTTAACCCATATATGTAAATAATATTCAGTTTAAAACAGCGCTTAATATTCATAATTATTTCGAGGCTGACAATTGATGTTACTCAATTATTGAAAATACAATTCAAACCAAATATAAACCCAAGTCAGTCAACATGAGGGCAACATTTCATTTAATTTATAGCCAGCATACATAAAAAAAAGACTTCACAGAGTGTGACTTGTGACAGACGGAATGTGTATATGCTCTCTTGCTAGGATATAATCGATGCCACTTCCTTGCGTCCACTTTCCATCTTGAACATGACTTTTGACACACACACACAGACACACACACACAGACACACACACACAGACACACACACACAGACACACACACACACATACACACACCCCTCCACAGTGGGTGGCAGGCAAGTCAAAGTGAATTGTGTAAACGGAAAACTGAGAGGCTTTGGTAAGAGCATTTCCGGTGCATTTAGGTGAACGTAGAGCGGCGTTAGCATTTCAGCTGAAAGTCCAGGAAATTGAATTCTCATGTAATGCGAGACATGACGCATTGACAGACAGACATACTGACAGACAGAGAGCCAGACAGCAAAATAGTAGCAGAGAGCGTTGTCAGCAGCAGTCTCCTCTGTGGAACAATGCGATGTCCGCACTGTGTGCTACTTGTTAACATAGTAATCACAGTCACTGTCGCCCTATGCCCCACTTACCCCCCACTTGTCACAAAACAATCATTTCAAGCGCCAGTTTACGACAACCTCTCAAATTGAAATGTGTAATTAATTGCAGCGGAGGAGTACTGGGTTGGGATGGTAGTCAGAAGTTCAAAAGCCCATACACTCGCACATCCGCACACACTTCATAAACAATCAACAGTTGGAGGTTGCTTGAGGTTGAGTTATATAGAAAATGATGACGGTTTGTTTCTGTATCTGTATCTGTATCTGTATCTTTGTTTATGTGTTAATGCTTTTCTTGTCACTCGATCTTGCAGATAGTGTGTGTGTGCGTGTGTGTGTGTGTGCAATTACGTGGGACAGCAAAAACCTCGTCTAACTTGACTGAATCTATTTCCATACTTAACTTATTTAGGTATATGCTCATTTATTTATTTCTTTATTTAATGTCAATTAAAGTCAGTGGGCACAAGAAACAAAAAATTAAAAAATGGATTGGCTTAAATTCAATTAAAAATAAAATTTAAATATAAAAAATAAGAGATATTTATAAAATTTCATTTTAATATTATTATTACTATTTTTAATCAGTTTTGCATTGTTGTAGAATTATTTTGCCTTACGCATTAATGCCAACTAACTAACAAATATACTTGAAATATATAGGATAAAAACAACTATTCCCATTCTGGATCGTGCCAAATATCGATTAGCACTTTACACTTTTTTGTATGCCATGCAATGAAAATTATGTTGGAAACACTTTTGAGTGCTGTTGTTGTTGAGCACGGACAAACGGAAACGTTGTAAGATATGAATCCGTCGTTGATATTATTTGATTTTTTTTGTGACATGTGTATTACAAGTACTTTTGGTTGGGTATCCAGTACCATACACATACATAAACAACAACGAATACAAAAATATCATCCACTATCGCAGCATGGCCGAGCATTATTATACATTATACATTTGGGCATTAGTCATCAACATCATCGTCATCGTCATAATCATCATC